GAATTTGGATTTGAATATTCGAATATGAATTTAGACTTGCATAATGTTGACGAGGGCTAGATAGTTTTGTCCCAGATCAGTTGCTTGAACTTCTCAACAAACGTGACTTAATGTTGCTTGAATGTCATTGATGTTATTGAATTAATTTGAGACGAGTGGATGTCGTCTTTTTACTTGGAGAAGAGTTGTCATCTCCTTTTCTTCTTCTTGGCCTTCTTTTTCATTGAACGTACTTCGGCGATTCGAATGTTTGGTTGCGGATTGAACGTCTATCTTCAACTTAAATATCCTTGGATTCTCAAGAACGCCTTCAAATCTTTAAGAGAGTTCTTGAGAGCTATTGAACTTGAAATTTTGATTTATGAGGAGTTCATTTTGGCTTTGGAGAGTCTATATACTTATAGGTGCAAAAAGAGAGTCTTGGGAAAGAAGCCATCATCCTTCATGATTTGATATAATCACTTTTCTCATTCTAAGATTTTACTTAGTTTGTAAGAAATATTTACTTTATTAATTATATATCTTATATATCTTGGATTTATGGCCAATAATAAATAAAAATATTAATTAATAAAATATTAAAATTTCAATGACTACAAATACATATAAATATAATTTATAATAATTTAGTTACATATGTGCATAAGTTAAGGATGACCACTAATTTTATTAGCGGGAGAGAATTAAAATTTAAGAAAAATAAAAGGAACTCATTGAGTAGAACATCTACAATGTTTTGGGTCTACTTTTGTTTACGTGATGCCTAAGTCTTGAATGACATGGACTAAAATATATAAATGCAACAAATTTAACTCTAATGCAACAAGACTATGTCTTTACTTAAATCTAAAATAGATTTAAGGATAAAACGAGTCTTTTTTTCTTGCCACATAAGCAGAACTTAGTCTATTTACGCTTGTATTGGAGTATATACTTTTTTATGGTGGCTCTATTTCATATGTGGGGTATAAATTTTTATACAATCAAGTGTTATGTTCACATTAGAAAAAATTGTCTGTCTCATTTATTATTTTTATCGAAAGCTCTGTCAAAATTTTGGAGTGGTCAGAAGAACAGTGAAAACGATCACCTGGTATTGTAAAATCATTGTTACTTACTCCATTTATTTACAGTGCGTGCGGTTCAGAAAACCATGGAAACTTCAAAATAAAATAATATTATCTCTACTGTTCTTGAATGTATATTAATTTTGACCCAATTCACCATTTTTTTTCTTGTTACCATTTTTCGGTTTGTCCGATTTTATGTGCTATTTTGGATATTTTTTTATTTATATAAATGAACAAGATAAACTTTCTTGGGTTATGTCTCAAGTACAAATATCCCTTTCGAGGTGTCTCATTAATAATTTAATATACCACACCTGCATAAGTTCATTCGAGAGTTGGGGATAAAAATAAGGTAAAAAAAAAGTGAAAAAATTTATCACGAGAGATGCAAACGAGTTGAGTCGAATATAACTGGTTGAGCTCAAATTTATGACTACGCTCAATTTTTTTAAATGTTGCTTGAGCTCGACCTTTTAGAACGCGGTTGGATGTAGAATATAATTGGTTTTGACTGTCCGAAATCTTTTACAAAATCAAATTCCTTCTCAACTTCAATTTAACTTAATTCTCTTACTTTATATCAATATAATTAAATACAATAAGTCGTCGTGTCATCTGATGACTTCATAGCAAAATTAAAATTAAATAATATCAATTAATCATTCTTACATATCATTTCAACTTTAAATCATTATTTATTAATTCACATGTTTTTAACTAATATCATTTCAATATGTTAGAAAATAGACTCACTTTATAAGTTTAATGGGCTACTCCTCCTTCCACCAATTGGTTTTGGGATGGAACCCCATTTGGGCTTCATATGAGCTTTTCCCGCTTTGGTGCGCTTTATGTTTGTAGGCTCGCACCCGTTTTTCTCCCTAGTTTCTGTCATGGTATCAGAGCCGGTTCTATTGGTGACCGTGCGATGACGTACCTGTCACCCAGCCAGTTGAGTTTGGGCTTTTGAAGGACTCACAAGTGAGGGGGCGTGTTAGAATATCACTTGTAAGTTGTCTCACATCGTTCATACATGGAAAATAGACCCACTTTATAAGTCTAATGCGCTATTCCTGCTTCCACCAATTGATTTTGGGATGGAACCGCACTTGGGGTTCATATGGGCTTCCCCCGCTTTGGTGCGTTTTATGTTAGTGGGTCCGCACCCGTTTTTCCCCCAGTTTCTGTCAACATCTTTACTACTTTTACATCACATCAACTTTAATCATAACATTTTAAATATTATTTAAATATAAACTTAAAATCTCACTCAATTTCAATTCAATCAACTTTATTTAATACTTTTACATCACACAACTTTAATCATAACATTTTAAATATTATTTAAATATAAATTTAAAATCTCACTCAATTTCAATTCAATCAACTTTATTTAAAATTAACTCACTTTTAATTCAAAATATATTCAAAACTGAGATCCAATCGCCCCTTTATAGATCAACTTGATTCAACAAAAATATACAAATGCTCGTGATTGGCTCAAATTTTGCTCATGTTCCTCTCAAATATATATATAAAAAAAATCTTTTCATATAAGATTTTTTCCTTGAGTTTAGCTTTAGCTCAGCTTGAGTTTGACTCTAATTAGGGATATTTGGCTGGTCTTGTAGGGAAGAGACATTTGTTATGAGCCAAGAGGAAATGAGTTTCAACATGGTTTATTTATATGCTACAATAACTTTAATTAAATAGAGTTTGATCTTCTAATTGCTGAACTCCTACACCTTACTCCATCAATAATTACTCCGTCAAGTGAAAAGTTATTATTATTCCCTAAGCTCAAATTATGTATGAGCTCCATTTGCTATTGATCATTTATCTCCGTATTTAAAATAACGAATGTCAATTTACTAATTAAATTACTTATAATTGAATTGATTAATATTTTTAGATTAATATTTTTAATTTAAGAAATAAGTACCATTCAACTTTATTCTTATCGAGATAAAATCCACCTATAAAGTTCCCTTAATAATTTTTATGAATTCATTTTGCAAGGTATCATCAACTTGAAAAGCTCATCTTGAGTTCGAGGTGCTGGAGCTTGATTTATGCTTGGTCAAACTTGAGTTTGAGTAGAACTTTGACTCGAGAACTCTCTTGTGAGACATAATAGCAAGGTTGTTCATTGGTTAGACCAATGGTTGTAGCGGTTTAATTAACATATAATTTTTATATGTATAATATATAACTGTATATATTTTTATCACTAATTTTATAGTGTATAATGATATTTGTCTAAATAAGATTTCAATGATCAATATAAATTTATAGTTTACCATAAACAATACTAATTTAGATACAACCTACAGTTACAGGTTTGTAATTTAATTTATATTTTTAATTTTTAAATTAGATTTTTTTTCAATTTTTATTAAGTAAAGAATAAAAAATTTAAAATTAATTTTGATCTTTGGTTTTACTTAAAATTAAAAAGTTCATGGACTGTTCGGGCTGTTGCATTCTAAACATACCTAATATAAAAACAAAAATGAGAAAAAATAAAAGAACATGTGGATAAACATGGCTAAGGGCCGTCCGGCCCGCCGACTCGGTACGAAACCCGGCCCGGTCAAATTGGGACCAGATCGGATTTCAGACGGGCCATTTAAGGTTCATCCATTTCATGGCCCGCTTTTTCTATTTTTTTTTTTTTTCCAGACACGACCCGGCCCAGTCAACCGGACCATTGACCCGACACAAGTATAGGTTCGGGTCAGTGTTTTCGAGCCCAGCGCCGCGCCGGGCCGTGACCCGGCCGGAGTGTTGGTCATGTCTACATGTGGAGATTCAAACTCGACCACGAGACCTCACACAAAAAAGGCTATTCATACTACTATATATAGGCTATGTTTGTAAAATTAGTCGATAAGCTAGCTGATAGCTGATAATCTAGCTTAGCTTATATGTAATTTTTGAGTTTATAACTTATATCTTCTGACTTATAACTAAAAATACTAATATATATGATAAAAATATTTAGTAAAATTAACTGATAAGTTAGCTGGAATAAAATTTTCAACTAGCTTATTTGAAAAGCTACCTAGAGAAATTTATGAGATAAATTCGAGTTTTTTAAAAAAGTTCGTCATACCAAACGAGACTTATTTGAATACAGAAAGCTTATAAGCTAACCAAATAAGGTATAAGCTAGCTTATTTGACTACCCAACATAGTCATACCAAGTTGCTTTTTGTTAGACGCAATTAAACATTTCATAGTAAAAAATGTCCAAAATTATGAACCGTCAAATCGAATGAACCGCGACCAATTTTCTGGTTTTACCAATTTTTAACAGGTTCGAACAGTTCATAACCGGTTTTGGGACCCAGCAGTTCAGCACCTCAAACTAGACAGGTGGTTTGGCCGGTTCTCGGTTGAACCGGCATGTCAGATTTTCCAAATCCGTGCTAAATAGTAGTGATAATCTACTTAACGTGTACAATGTTAAGAAGCAAGACAAAACTAACTAAATAATGGAGACAAGATTATTAAACCGAACAAAACAAACTAAATAAACAGAGACAAGAAGGGAACAATCCGTGTCCATAATCTCACCCCAAAAATTGCATTCCCAAAGTTCACACCTGTCTTCCAACATCCCACAATTAATGGCTAAGTAACAATGCATAACAAAAATACAAACAAAATGACATTAATTAATTACCACACAAGAAAACAAATTGACAAACACCCCTAAAATCTATGCAAATTTTAGACAGCGAAATCAAATCAAATTAATAAAATCACATTCGCAAAATAAACAAACAAACAAATAAAAAGATAAGTAAACAAATAAAGAAAGAAAGAAAGAAATAAATTATTAACAAAAAAAGAGTCATCTGATGAAATTCTGCTGAGTCTAAAACTACTGAACAATTTGTTACCTGACAAAACGATACTGTAGCTCCACTGTGTTTAATTTCTGCACTTTGTTACATATGCATAGCAAAAAATGCAAAATCAATATTCATAAAAATTATTTTTTCCCAAATCCCTACAAAAATTACACCGATTTATAAATATATATTTTTTTTGGGGGACAATAAAAATAATAAACTATGTTTTTTCTTTGTTCTAAGGCATGAACAGCTTGTCCCCACACTTGCACCTCCAGGCTTCCGGGTAGTACTCGAGCGGCATGCTGAACCCGGGTTGGACCGGCACGTGAACCGGCTCGCAGGGCGCGCACCGTCCGCACCTGGATCTGCATGTCGGCGGCGACGACCCCGGCCCCCCCAGCCTCCGCCGCGCCGGCCCTCTCTCCGAACCTAAAAAACGACACGCGCGCGTAATTAAGCGGAGCTAATTAAATAAATCATAAAATGAAATATTTAGACGGACGTACTGAGTTGGGGAGATGGGTTGAGGCGGAGGTAGGCGCCGGAAACGGACGAGAGGAGGAGGAGGAGGGCCACGACGGCGGCGGCGAAGGAGGGCCACGCGCGGCGGCGACGGCGGTTGTGGGGCGTGCCCATTGGGTGTACAGTAGGAAATACGGACTTAGATTGATTGTTGAATATGAAGAAGAAAGATTTTGATGATGAGTGGGCTTAGGTGTGTGTTTTGTGTCTGTGTGTGTGTGTGTGGTGTTATTATTGAAGGATAAAAGTAGTGTGGTGTTTGCGTGCGTGTGTGTGAGTGAGTCCAAGTCAAACTAGTAACAAGTTTTACTGTGTGGAGATATAGGTATTACTGTGCTACTATGGTACCTGTTAGTGGTTTTATATAATACATATAAAATTTTTTCTTCACTTTTCTTGACATACACACAATGATCCTCATCAACCACGATCAAACCAAATGCATAAATGGCTTCATGGAATTTGAGATACCATCGTCTGGAAGACTGCTTGAGACCATATATGGATCTTTTGAGGCGACAAACTTTATTGTCTTGCCCTTCTAGGACAAACCCAATAGGTTGATCCATATATATCTCTTCCTCAAGAGAACCATTGAGGGAGACAGTTTTTACGTCCATTTGAAATAATTCTAAATCCAAATGGGCAACCAGGGCCATAAGAAGACGAATAGAGGCAAATCTCACCACAGGAGAAAATGTCTCATCGTAATCTATACCTTCAATTTGGGTAAACCTTTCGCTACTAAACGAGCTTTGAACTTTTCTATTGATCCATCCCCCCCACGCTTGATTTTGAATATCCACTTACATTCAATTGATCGACGATGAGAAGGAAGGTCAACAAGTTCTCAAACATTATTTTTAATCATTTAGTCTATCTCATCATTCATTGCATCTTTCCATTCTGTATTATATGGTGAATTCATTGCCTCTTTATAAGAGTTCGGTTCATCTACTTCTAAAGGAGTACAAAGAAATACATCCTCCTCAATTTAAAAAAATCGACGAGGAATTCTTCCACGATCACTCCTTCTCAAAGTAGGACTTGCATTATTTTCCAAACTAGTAGAAAAACTTCTCCCACTGTCCTCGAGAGGCATGGGACTATGAACTTGGTGACTTATCTCGTGCTCTACTCTATGAGGCTTATCCTCATTTTGAGTTTGTTTTTCACTAGTGGAATTTAGAAGAACTTCATTATCTTTAGAGAATTGTTGAGGTAACATATCCCCCTCATCTCCTAAAGATACTTGCATTTTACTAATGGAATTTAGAAGAACTTAATTATCTTTGGAGATCTGTTAAGGTAACATATCCCTCTCATCTCCTAAAGATAATTGCATTTCTTGTTGTAACTCATACAACTGAAGGTCTCTTTTAATTTCACCAATACTTGGGAACTCATCCTCAAGAAAATCAACATTGCGTGAGTCTAGCTCAGTCATTCCACCATCTGCATGTTCATCAAACATAACATACCCTTTTGAATGTTCAGGGTATCTAATGAACACCATTTTGGTAGCTCTTGGACCAAACTTTTCATCCTTGTGAGTTTGGTTATGCACATAGCCAGCCGAACCCCAAGGGCGTAAATGGTCCAAAATTGATGGTTTCCCATTCCACAACTCATATGGAGTGAGTGACACACTTTTACTCGGTACACGATTAAGGATGTATGTTGCCGTAAGCCACGCATCTCCCCAAAATTTAATAGGGAGATTGGCTTGCGCCATCATCGACCTAACCATGTCTAGTAATATACGATTTCTTCTTTTAGCAACACCATTTGTTGCGGAGTATATGGAACCGTAAGTTGCCTTGAAATACCTTTAGTCTCACAAAACTCTTTGAACATATCAGAGAGGTATTCACATCCCCTGTCAGTACGAAGAGTCTTAATTCTTCGTTCCTTTTGGTTTTCAACTTCTGCCACGAAACGTTTGAACGTATCAAGTGCTTCATGTCGATGGGATAATAGGCACACATACCCAAAACGTGAATAGTCATCAATAAAGGTAATAAAATATGTAGCCCCCTGACGAGCTTTTATATTTAAAGGCCCACAAATATCAGAATGAATCAGCTCTACAGGATTGATGCTCTTGATGCCTTACCAAAAGGCTTTTTAGTAGCTTTTCCGGCTAGACAAGGTTCGCATTTAGGCAATTTAACCTTAGTCAATTGTCCCAAATGTCCCTCTTTAGCTAGCCTGCACATTCTATCATGACCAATATGACCAAGTCGCGCATGCCATTTAACAGATTCGGAATCAATATTATAAAATGAAGCAAAAGCATGTGATGAGTCATTATAACTTTCATCCGAGTCAAGAACAAAGAAACCATTCTTTAAAATACCACGTCCGAATAAATTTCCATGATATAAAATGTCCAGACCACTAGTATTGAAGTTAAGGGCAAAACCAAGTTTTAACAAGGAAACAATTGAAAGTAAACAACTTCGAACCACCGGTGCATAGAGAGTATCATGTAGGAGTAGTGTATTTCCACCATGTAGTTTGAGTTGGTATGTTCCAACCCCAAGGGCATCTTCTTCGCTCCCGTTCCCTAACATGACAGTTTGAGTGCCAATAGAAAACCGGTGGAATTCCACAAATCCTTATCTTTCATGAACTATGTGCTTGCTTGCTCCCGTATCTATAATCCAATTAGGAATAGGATTAGCAACTATGCATGGGAACAAGCATATAGTTTAAAAGAATTAGTGGTAGAAGGTACCTTTTTCCTCAGCACAATCACGAGCGAAATGACCTTTCTGTCCACAATTATAGCACTTCACACGCACTATTTTCTTCTCCTTTTGGCCATGTGCCATAAGTTGTTTCTTGTAACCACCGTTTGGTCCAAAATTTTGAGAAGGACGGGAAAATTTCTTGGCTCTTTTGCGCTTATTTCCCTTGGCTTGACCACCATGGGCAACAAATGCAACATTGGAAGGGGCTAACGTTCTCTGACGTTCAACTTCCATTTCAATATGTTTAGCGAGTTATGAAAAAGTATTTATGTTCTCGCTATGAGCCATGAGGAGCTTGAAGTTCTTCCAATTCTCAGAATCATTTGGAAGTGAACGAACCACGTTTAGAACTTGCTCCTCATCAGGTACATCTCGTCTCGCAGCTTTTAGGTCACGTATCATGGCACTCATGACATGCAAATGTTCGGAAACAGAGTGCTTAGGATCCATATTGTAATCCATCCACTTTAAGTTCAAGGCACGGAGCCTAGTAGCCGAAGTTTGCCCGAAGGTGACCTTAAGCTTATCCCACATGTCTTTAGCCGTGGGACAATTCTCAAACTCTCCAATAAGATCATTATGCATGCAATATAACATAGTATAGCGTGCAGACCGATCCTTTTTGAACCACCTTTGATAGGTTGCCAATTCTTCCTTGTACTGCGTACTAGCAGTATCCTTTGGCTCAATCACAGAAGTGGACAAGGTTTTCAAAACCTCGCATTCATTAAGAAGATACTGAATCTTCCTATGCCAGATGTCATAATTGGTACCATCTAGCTTTTCGTTGGAGGACAAATCTCCAATCATAGATTTTTAGTTGTCATCTACAAGTATATAAAATGGATATTAGGCATGAGGGAAATAAAATTAAATTATCGCTTTTATTTTTGTTTATGCCATGAGTTCGAAAATTTCGCCAAGCTCATAATCATCACAAATAACACAAACAAAAATAAATATAATTTAATTAACCTTATTCTAATGAAACATATTCATTTATTCATGTTATTGTTTAACAAATAAACACAATATATAAACATCACAAAGATATTTAAGTCTCATAACATGAATAACATATATTCATGTATCATATTAAATAAATATAAACATCACAAAGGTATTTAAGTTTCATAACATGAATAACATATATTCATGTAACATATTAAATAATTATTTAAATATCACTTAGATAAATTAAATAACAAGAAGCAGACACAATATTACTAAACTATTGATTTATTCTTTTCATCATAATAATAAATATTATGACAATTTCAAAAATATTTTTTTTTAATGGTAAACAAGAATACCATATAAATATTTGAAAACCATAATAATAACAAATATTATTATTAAACAAAGAATAATAGTAATAATTCTTATTCTTTGTATATATATTAATTAGGCCACAAAACTTAGTTATTCCTCCATCTTAATTATTATTTTTTTTTTATGTCATTTTCATGATCAAAAATTCGTGAATGACACTCATTCTATATTTAACACTTAGTTAAAAGAGAATGAATTTTATGTAACAAATACATAAATATATTCGTTTATTAAAATAATACGTCGGAGGAATAAACGGGCTCTGATACCACTGTTAGTGGTTTTATATAACACATATATAAATATATATAGGACTAACCTTTATGTAGCGGAAGCGAAAACTTGCCCGTATCTTTTATCCGACGGCTACTAGAGTCGTTGGTATCCTCCACGCTTTAAAACCCGAGCCGCCTTGATGGTTTCGGCTCAACAAGAGAAGAGCACTATATAAAGATTATTTATATTTCTCTAACTAGTTTCTTGTCTCGTATTGTCTTTTCAAGATGCACAAAAGCACTTTATTTATAGTTGTCTTAATACAAAAATTCATTTAATGAAGACATGAATTCACACTTAATGAAGACATGAATTCACACTTCATAACTCCATACATAATGGATATGAAGTTGTAACTCCACCATCTTTAAGTGGATGTTACCAATTGATGTAACATAACATCAATTAAAAACAATAGTACCATTTTGTATCTATAGTTAAAAGGGGAAAAAAAAGGTGAAATTTAGAGGAAATTGAGATTTTTTGTTATTATTTATTTTTTATTCAAATTAATAGTAATATTACACCAATTAATCTTCTCCTCTCAGGGCATATCGTTTTTCCATTTCTCCTTTCCCCATTTCCCTTTTTTCTTGTAGGAATCATAATCGGCGAGTCGCCTCTCTTCTAGCGACGGGTCTCCTTCCTCAAGCGAGGGGACGCCGGGGTTGACACTAGTACTGGTTTTCTGTGGTTCAGTGGGGTCGTCCGTCTTCTCCTTCTAGAGTGGAATTCTTGTATCCAATGGTAGAAAGGGAGGCGACGACTTGCGGTCGACGGACGCGGTTGCCGTCTGGTGGCGGTCGGTGTTGCGAGGGTTGCCGCTATGCCCCTCTTTCCTCCTTTATCTCTAGTGTTGGGCGTTTGGGGGCGGCCGACGGGCTCGACTCTCGGTGGGCTGCAATCACCGACCGGACTGGGGGTGGGTGGGGTGCGGGCTTGCTGGTCTCGGTCAGGTGGAGATCTCTTGGGTTGGGCTTCATACTTGCTTCAGTTCTAGTTAGCCGATTGAGGTGTTTATAGAACCTTGTGTTGGGCCGAGTTTGGCCCTCTTGGGGGACTACCATGGGTGTAGGTCTGTTTGTGGTCTTAGGAGAGTCTGGCCTGCTGGAGGNCCTCATGTAAATGGCTTGGATCCCTCGATGTTCCCCATATGTAGGATTGTGCATTGCAGTAAAGATTAGTTTTTTTAGCGCCTGGTCCTACCCAATACAAAGCCTACCCTTGTACCTCAATATGTCTCATTCAAACTTGTATTAAGGATAAGCTGTAGGATCCATTCTTTAGTTGTCACAATTTTGTTGAAAGGCTTGTCTCCTCCATAACTTTTTATCACTTGATGCACCCAATTAGGGGTAACCACAGTTAATGCATTTAAGTCCATCTACTCGTTTCTTTTCCTGGACTGGGCATAAGCAGCCCTATTTTCAGTTCCCTTATTATATTGAAATTTATAATTCAATCCTAACAATTTGGTAAGCTATTTCTATTGCTTTGGTGCCATAACTCTCTAGTCTAGTAAATATCTCAAGGCTTGATGATCAGCTTTGATAATGAATTTGTGGCCAGACAAATAATGTCTTCACTTTTGAATGGCCATTAGAACAGTTAGAAACTCCCTTTCATTAATGGATAACACATGATTCCTAGGACATAAAGTTTTTCTCAAATAGGTTAAGGGTTTGCCATGTTGCATCAATACTGCCCCCCACTCCCGTGCCACTTCCATCAGTCTCTAGGACATAAAGTTGTGTAACATCTGGAAAGCCCAAGATTGGGGCAGTTACCATGGCATGTTTCAGAGTCTGGAAAGCTTTTCAACCTCTGATTCTATTGGAATTTGCCTTTCCTTAGGAGATTGGTCAAGGGTTTGCTAATTATGCCATACTCCTTAACAAACTTCCTATAATAGCCTGTAAGTCCTAAGAAACCCCTCAATTGTTTAAGGGTAATGAGAATAAGCAAGTCAAGAATGCTAGCAATCTTTGAGGGTCTGTTAACACTCCTTCGGAAAAAATAATATGACCTAAGTACTCCACTTCTTGTTGGCTAAAATGGAATTTGATCCTTTTGGCATATAATTCGTTCTTCCTTAGTAGGACTAGTACCTCTTCTAGGTGTAACAGATGCTCCCCCAAGTTATGCTATGGATCAATAAGCCATCAAAGAACACTGGCACACTTTTTCTCAATAAATCTTTGAAAATTTGGTTCATGAAGGATTGAAAGGTGGCTGGTGCATTGCACAATCCAAATGGCATGAATATAACTCCATATTACCCATTCTGGGTATTAAATGATGTCAAGTGTTTGTGTTATGGTCTCATCAGGATTTGAAAGTATCCTGATCTCAGGTCAACCTTCGAAAAATATTTGGCTTCATGTAGTTCATCAAGAAACTCCTCAATAATAGGTATAGTGTAGTCATGTTTGATGGTCAAGCTATTAAGGTATTTGTAATCTACACACAGTCTCTAAGTAGTATGAAGCCTGAGTCCAATAGCTCTTTGACTATCCTCACAATCTTTGATTATTGGTTATGAGATACACTGTAGGGATATTGGTTCTTAGGTGAGATCTGACTTCAAAATGATTTGATGCTCTACCACCCTGCTTGGAGGTAATTTTTTTAGGCTCCTCAAATATATCATCATACTTGTAGTAGGATGTCCAACTGTGGATTGGATTGGGAACTATCATTCAATATATCTCCTCCACCTCATCTAACCCCTCCTTAATGATAATTTTGAATAAGGCAGGTCCTAATATCAATTTGCAATCAGCTGTTGTGGTAAGTGTCGGTAGCTTGATCCTTTTCCCCTTCAGATTAACAGTGATGACCATTTTTTTTGTAGTCTAATTCTATGGTTGTACATGAGTTGAGCCAATATCTTCCTAGATATAACTCACAACCCTCATGTTGTAACATCCTCAATGAATGATTGAATGATTCGTTCTGCATTTCCCATTTAAAACCCTTTTCTCTCCTTGCAAGTTCCTCATCCTCAGTCAAAATCATAAAACAAAGTTCCTCAACCTCAGTCACAATCATAAAATTTACCCTCTGTTTATATCTATGTCCATAAGTGAATTGTGTCCTCACAATTGTAACAAAGACCTTTTTTCTCGCATTTCTGCCTTCCACTGGCTGTAAGCAACTTGACTGGGGTTTTGTGTTGTGACGAGTTAGGAAATTTGTTCAAATGTGTGGTTGTAGGCTCAAGTTTCTTAGGATTTGTGTAGTTGCTGTAAGTTAGTTTGCCAGTTCCTCTTAAATTTTTGTAATTGCTTCAAGAGTGGTCATCTGTTTCCTTCCCAACTCAATGGTCTGCTGTAAGTTTGTGGGTTCAAACATATTAATGAGTGTTTTTGACACCTTTTGTCGGCCAGTNGTTTATGTAGATATCATCCTTCCGAATAATTTGTCCAGGAGCAGCTAGTCCATCACTGTCCAAAATCTGAGAATAGCGAGAAACTATAATTGAGATATATAATCCTATTGATTATTGGTGAAAAAGTAACTATGAACAAGTAACGGCAATCCAACCCATCTCTGTCTATGCAGTGTATAAATATAATAGCGAAATATTTTTAGAAAAGGAAACAAAATTCACCGAGCTTGTTTTCCTCGGGAAAAACACTGGTTTTGCCCAAATAGTATAAATTAAATAGAAAATAAAACTGAAAAACTTAAAGGACTTTCTGCTGGCTATGTCATTGTGCACAATAAAACGCATGCATAGTCCTGCATTCCTGCCAAATAATCTAGTTTCACAAAACAAATGCCAATGAAAACAGACCATAAAGCTTTTCACCAATTTATATATATCTAATGCAGAATGAAAGCCCATTGATAAAAGAATACCTGCATGCCTTTAGATCCTTTTTGCGGCCCTATAATACAGTCAGAAGTGCCATTCTCATATTTCTGGATAACTGCAGACGTTCTGTTCGTAGGTAATTAATAAATGCATCTATTACACAAAAAACTTTCTCTACTATATAAATTAAGTGAATAATTCTAAGTAGCAAAAAAGAATATGGATAAGTACCTTTTCATTACAATGCAACGCCCAAAACCATGATCCAAGGACGACTTATTCATTACAATTGCATCCTCTATGTCGTATCCACTATAACTCATGACTGCAACAGTTGCATTCTGTCCAGCTCCCAGTTTATCGTAGCTGATCTGAAAAAGGGAGGGGAAAACAGTAAAAATAATTTAAAATTATATACATAAAACTAAAAGTGCTTGTTACTGTGTAACAAGAGGCTTTCGGATCCACTAACCAGCTCAATAGCTCGTGTTGTTAGTAATGGGCGTTGAGGATAAACTAAGAGGTACAATAAATTATCCATCCTACGTAACTGCGAAAAAAGACATCTAGTTAGATGATTCAGAAAATGAAAAGTTGTCTGCAACCCTAGTGTACAGCACAAGTTGATATATATATATATATATATATATATATATATATATATATATAGTGTTATACATAATAATTACTCTTATATTGGGCATGTTATACAAAACAAGTTACTCATCCATATTGGGCTAACCCACTATGCCAAAGTATGGGTTGCTTCAGATGGATAATAGGCCTATTTCGAGCCAGGTCCAAATTGTGAAAAGGAATAGCCCAAAAACTAGAATGAAAACTCCCACTTGTGGGGAATACTAATTAACTCCCAAACATGAGAATACTAATTCCCAAAAGGGAGAGTAAAACACCATTAAAAACAAAAAATAAAAAATAAAAAACAGAAACTAAACACAACACACTAACTAAACTCACTGAATACTAGAATAAAACCCTTTCCGCAGCTGGCAAGCCACTCTAACCAAAAGCATGACACCGACACCGGAGGGAGATCACCCTCCGGACAGAGACTTAGCCCGGGTCGCAGATCCAAAAACTATAGTTCACCAACGCCTAATTAGATCCGAAAACCATAAACCCTACCCCTCACTCAGGTGGGCAACCTCAGACCAGCAACCGGAAGCCTTCGTCAAACTCCACCCCCAACACCATCGACGACCCGACGATGACTCGCGCCCGAACACAAACCAAACTACCGCCCGACCCTGTAAACGCATCCCATCAGCCCAACACCAGGGAAGAAAAGGACATGGGAAGAAGACTATGACCTCGACTCCGACCACCACACAGGGGTTATCGGAGCCGCAACCCACACCCGCAGAGTAGCAGGAAGATTGCCTACGCAAAGACGTCGGTTGAGAAACGTCTGACCACCCCCGCCATGGCGACCTGTTAAAAGGCGAGACCCACTCAGGGGAGGAGATCGCCGCCTCCTCCCTAGAAATTGTTGTATCTACGGTCGAGGACTCTCTAAAAGCCGAGCCGTACGATCTGAGGACGACACCATCGTGCTGGCGCGGTTGACTCTGCTAGGGGAAAACACAGAGAAGCAGAGCAAATCAAGGGGGGTTTTTTAAAAAGAGAAAAGAAAGTTTTTGTCCTAGAGAGATAAGTTCTTAATTTTTAAGACCGATTTTTCAAGTGATATAAATTATGCCTAAGCTAAGTTTGCTTATTAATAAATTAGCTAAGTTTACTCATTATATTTAAAGATTAACTGTTTAGACGTGTTTGGAAATTTATCTGATTGGATAGATGTGAAATAAAGAGAAAAGTTAAAAAAGAAAAAGTAGTTCAATATGCTATTTCTTTGTATATTGCCGCCTCTATACTATAAATATGCTCTTATTTTTACTACCTTTATAGCCAATTAAATTATCCTCCCCTTATCACAATGCTAGTGATTTTAGATCTCTCGAAACAAATTGTGATTTTAGATCTCTCCATACAAATATTTAATATAGTTTTTATTTACTTAGTATGGGCATTTATCACGTATAATTTCTCGTATGTGTTTTGTCCTATTTGGAAGCTGGTTTACACAACATATGAATTGGTCAAGACTCAAGACATTGGGATTGATTTTTTTGTTGTCTTGCTTCATTTTCAATGCATATGTTGATGGGTCTTCTGTCAATGTGCTAGTCGACTTACATTTCTCTTACTCTAACTTTGCTGTAATTATTAAANNAAACATGTGTAATTTAATGGTAAGACTCATGTTGTTCAAGTTTAAGGATGAGACTAGAATTCTTTTCAGCAGTGAATACATTTAATTGCAGTATCATACTTTTAAAAATAAACTAAACTTTAGAAAAAAATAAATAAATAAACTAAACAAAAGTATGATATTTATAGAATGAGTAAGCATTAGATTAAAAATTTATACCTTTTCAATAGTTAAACTGTTCCACACAATAATTGTTTTATTTAACAATGTCACCATTGACATTAAAATAGAGATGTATGTTTTGATGCTTCATGAATCATGAATCATGACATAACAATAGTCCATATATTATAATAACTAGTGTAGATTTCATTCGATGCACGGAGTGTACAGTTTTAAAGTTATTTACACAGTCTTATTATTATATTCGTCAATAAGAAAAATTAAATAAATAGAACAAAGTATACTATTATTATATATTATTAAAAACTTTCTTACAGACAATATTTTTTGTCTTATAGGCACACCATCCTCCCCGCAAATTAATATTATCAAGCCATTTCAATTAGTGACACGGGAAATAGCTACATACAATTGGTCGTGACTGAACACCGACTTCTTCAAAAACATGCCAACATGTGATAAAGTCTGACCCTGACTCTTGTTAACCTTCATGGCATAAGAAAGCATTTGGACAAATTGTCTCCGCTGAAATTTAAAAGGTACTCTAAAGTCGGAAGGTGTTAGTCATCCGAGGTATCAACACCTTCTCTCATGCATTAGATCCTGTCAATACCTTATATTCAAACACATGAGTGGAGAGCTTTGTAAGAACCAATCTCGTATCATTGCACAACTCCATAAAATGGTCAATGTTTCGTAGTTTTGTATGTTGTCTTTGCTGTGTTTCTGGTCTGGGCCGTTGGCCTCAGTTTGCCCGAATGTAACTCTATTATCCTGTTGGGATCGTACACTCGAGCATTACCCTGTTGGGGTCTTTGTGTTTTGTTTTTTAGTAGTGTTTTTTTGTGTTTCCGTGTATTACCCCTTTGGGGTCGGTTCTAGGCGGTCTTTTAACCTGTCCTCCCACTTTTTCAGTTGTTGGTTGTTTGTATTCAGCTGGTGGCTGGCCTTTTGCACATTTGTGCGCGTTATATAATATATCTATCATTTCGAAAAAATCGGGGATGTGCACATTGGACAAAAAATTATTTTTGAAATCAAATTTGCTCGTATTATTAGAGCTCAAGTATGTTTGACCATTAGTGACGTTCAAAGACGTCATACACTATTGATAGACCCAACTACATCCAACATTTGGGCTAGTATAGTCCTATCTTTCAAATAATTGGGATCATCGGTTGTATCCTCAAACATTGGAAAGGTGCTCTCAACAATTGCAGCGATAAACAACAGTGGGCTCCAACAATATATCATCAGGTATATCTATCAAGGCACATCCATCATTGGACCCCCAATTGTTCCATCTCTGATGTTCGCTATCTAATTGGCAAAAGCAGTCAGCTCCTTTGAAATAACCGGGAGGATCTGTCGGAAGTCCTCATCGTGAAAAAAGATTTCCAAGTAATTCTTGTATTCAACCTCAAATTAGTGTTCAATTATTTGAATCGTGCGCAGCTTCATGGGTAGCTTATTAGTTTTAATTACATCCTTTATCAGACCAAATTTGCACTTAGTCATGAATTAAATTAAATAAGTATAAATCGCGTATTTGTGTAATAAAAAATTAAATCGAAAGCAAGATGAGTAGACAACATTGATCTACACTAAATTTATAAGGGAAGAAGAACAACGTATACTTTAGATAAATTTCATAAACATTTGTTATGAAAATATTTTAACAAAGGGAATAAATTGTCTATGATTCATGTGAATTTTTAAACGTGTGCAAATAACACTTATTCTATTTTGTAATGATAAATATTTACTCTTGTAACTCACACGTTTTTCTGGTTAGTTTGACGCTACTATTTTTTTTTCTATATTTGTTTATTCATATATTGTAAATTAATCAATTGGTGATTGCAATTTGGTTATATATGTAATATTTAATTTTGAGACTTTTTCAAAATTATATTTTGGTCATTTTCTAATCAATTAATAATTTGATTATATATGATATATTGAATCAAATCGACAATATCAAATTTTTTGAATCTTACATATTTTTTGGTTGTTTTATCAATTTGACCACTATGGAAGAAAATTATTAATGTTTTATTTTAGACAATGATTAATACGTTATACAATATTATTTTTATAAGATCTCATTGGAATTTTGACTTCCACTCCAATCATTCAAACTAAAAAATTTCGATCATATTATTCTTCAGATTTATCATACCGAAAATATTGAATCCAAAGCTTACCAAAAAATAAATAAAAAAATAGAGACACACATTTATTTTAAAATAGTCGGCCATATTATTGTTTATATTTTTTATACCAAAAAAATCAAGACACTCTTTATCATGCTAAACACAATTGAGCTCTACATTTCACACAAAAATTATTTGAATGTCGTAATAAAAAATGAGTTAAATCGAGACCCATAAATTATACAAATAAAAAATTGACCAGTGCATTTTCTATAGAAAAAAACATTGATACAAGCAGACTATATCAAAATATTCGTTCATATTATTTTGTCGGAGTTACAGTAATTTCATTATGGTAAATTCATACAAAAATTAAAAAAATAAAAAATAAATTGAGACCCACGCCTAAAAAACAATATATTGGCTTGCACATTACAGTAAAAAAAGTATACCATATATTGATTAATTTCTCAACAAATTTTCTACCATAAAACAGTCATCAACTGGATGCTATTTCTTAGCTTTTTTTGGCGACACACGGTTTCTTAGCTATTTTTGGAGTTTGTGGCGTCTCGCAAATACTCGGCTGGATTTCAGTAGCGCTTACCATCCGGCATCCGCAGACCGACGGTCAAACCGAGGCCGTCAATCGCTCTCTCAGGAATCTATTGTGTTGCTTAATGGGCGAGAACATGCGCAACCTGGATGTTCGGCTTAGCCAGGATGAGTTCGCCCCCAACTCGGCCGTCAGTCGGGTGATTGGTTGCTCTCCAATCCAGTTGGTTTATGCGGTTCAGTCGTGTGGTCCGACAGAACTACTAGCTTTGCCGTCCACCGAGCCGTCTGATCGTCGTGCGAAGGATTTCATGGCGGACTTGCGGCAGACGCATGACTCTGCTCATGCGTGTCTCGAGGAGGTCACGACCGTTTACAAGCGTCGTGCGGATACTCTTTACCAACATGTTGAGTTTGAGGTTGGCGACTTTGTTTGGGTTGTGTTGACCAAGGACCGTTTCTCGGCTCACGACTATAATAAGTTGTCATCGCAGAAGATTGGCCCCGTCGAAGTCCTTCAGAAGATTAATCTAAATGCGTGTCATCTCCGCCTCCCGTCGCACATTTGCACGTCTGA